CAACTTGGTATATGCAATAAAATCTCGCAAAATTTTCATCACCAAAAAAATGATACGCCACGCATGTTATAATTGTAAGATCCTTTTTAGGATGAAAAACAATAGAATAAAAATCAGTCCTCTCAATAAAAATGCATAAAAACATGTAAGAAAAAGTATTGCCATAAGGATATAAAACAAAACAGATTAAGCATGATTGAAGCTGTGTCAGAATTCAGCCTGTGATTCTGTTATTTCTTAACATAAACAACTTAATCAATAGAACGAAATAATTTAAAAAAGACTCATTTTATAATTCTATTAAACAGTTATACTATGACTCTCTCTATGTGAATCATCACTCAATAAAATGCTTTCCATTTGCAATATTCATAACCAATCCTCTTTCCCCATTGATGCATTTCTTGTACCTATATTATGGCGTCCATGTTTTCTCTTAGTTCGTTGGATTTCATAAAACGGTGCCCAAAATGAGTTTAATTGTTCTAAGTTTACAAATATCATAGTGCGTTTAGTGTTAAACTTTGACAAGAATTATATTTTTAGTATTATGATGCATTCGTAGAAATTTGGACTGCTGAGAATTTTCTATGAAAAACTTGGCAATTTTGTGTTTTCTTTTGAAAGAATATATCGATAACTATGATTGTATTCTAGATGGATATTATATCATCCCTCGTCTGGATTAAACGTGGAGCAGCTAAAGCTACTCCAATTAAAGTACTTATATCTCATGTTTACTTCTCTCTTATATTTCTTTTATATTTTTTAGTTTATGCCCGAACAAGAAGAACTCGATAGTATGATTGATAAAAACGGGTAAATATAAATATTCAAATTATGCGACAATATTTTCTTAAATTTTTCTAGAAATCGCAATGAGGACGAGACAACAAAAGATATTGATATGGATGTTGAAAAACGTGATGAACTTGACGATCGTAAGTTTCATAAAAAAGAAAAAAATTTTTTTTTTTGTAAATTTTCAGTTCTATTCATTATTTTTCATAGAAGAAGATGATGAAGATAATGTTATCATACCCGGCGTGGGTCCTATTGCAATGCATGCATCTAATTCTGATGATCCTTTACTTGAAATAAAAGATGATGTAATTTTTCTTTGTTTTTGTTGTTTAATTGTATGAATGAAATAAATTTAGGGCGAAGATTCAGATGCTGAAGATTATTTTATTCGACCAAACGATAATCTCATTGTTGCTGCACATATTGAAGATGATACTTCTAGTCTTGAAGTCTACGGTGAATTTCATGAACGAACAAAAGATTTTTTATTTTGTAATATAATTCATTTTAGTCTACAATGATAAAGAAGGCTATCTCTATGTACATCATGATATATTAATGTTGAATATGCCACTATGTTTAACATGGTTAGATTATGATGTGAATGATCCTAATGCAGGTTTAAATATAAAGAATAAACTATTCGTATTGCTATTTATGAAATCTTTCTAGTTAATTATGTTGCAGTAGGAAGTATGGAAGGTGTTATTGAATTATTTGATATTGATCTTGTTGATCAAATGGAGCCATTACATACATTTGGAAAAAAGTCCAAAAAGAAAAAAACAAAATTATCTAAAAAAGCTTCTAAAGTTCGTTTGAAGAAAGAACAAAAATACAAATTTTTGTGATTATCCCTTTTTTTTCCACAGAAAACAAATAATAATAAATCAAGTGAAGGTCATGATGCTGCTGTACTTGACTTATCATGGAATAAACTTGTTCGTCAAATCATTGCATCAAGTTCTGCTGATGCAACAATAGCTTTATGGGATTTAAGTCAAATGAAAATGGCTTTACATTTACAAAAATTACATGAAAAACAGGTCGGTAAGTGCTAAGATTTATTAAATGAATTTTTTAAAACAATATCTTTTGTTTTTTTCTTTTTTCTTTTTAAATATTTATTAGATTCAGTCGATATGTTGGCATCCGATTGAAGCACAAAATTTACTTTCAGGTTCAGCCGATAGAACTGTATGTTTAGTTGATTGTCGTGATGCAAATAATAAAACAAGTCAACATCGATGGACATTTGATTCAGATATTGAACGAATTACTTGGAATACATTTGATACAAATCAATATTTAGTAAGAATAAAAACATTTTTTTGTTTTGTTTGTATTAAATAATTTTAGGCATCAACGGAAAATGGATATGTTTATGCGATGGATATTCGAAAAACAACAATACCAGTTTTTAGTTTGTCTGCTCATAATAGTGCTGTTACTGGTAACAAACAAAGTTATAAAATAAACTTGAATATTAATTTTGATTAATTAGGTTTATGTTTAAGTTCAAGTGTGCCTGGTCTTCTAGTCACATCATCATTTGATGAATGTGTTAAAGTATGGGATATTGATAACGAAAATGTAACATTTATTGCTGAACGACAATTTCAAACAGTAATTTAGATTTTATTCTAATTTTCATTTAAAATAATTATTAATCATAGGGTCGAATTAATACATGTCTTGCTAATCCTGATTTTCCATTTACGTTTGCTTTTGGTGGACAATCAAAAGGTTTACAAATATGGGATTGCTCAGAAAATTCAAATGGTATGATAATGCACATTGATATTTCTAAGATTTTTGAAATTACAATTAGAAAAGTTGATTTTTTTTTGAAAGAGCTTTTATAATGTCATTGAATGTTCAGAACTAGAAATGAATTTGTATGAAAAGTTTTCTAAACTTGTAAAATTAATATTAAATATTTCTAATAATCACAAGGTTTCTTTAATTTTATTATCAAAATAAACATAAGATTTCATTTTCTAGGAACATCTAATGTAGATCTTATGAGTGATTTCAACCTTTTCAGGTCATATTTTATTCATCAGTCGAAAACATCTAAACTAGTAAAACCTCGAAAGAATTTTCCTTTTTATTGAAACTTCACTGAGATACGAATGTTTCAAAAAGAACAGGCTTTTTTTTGTATATTTTTATAATTCTATGAAAGTACTGTATTTTGAAACATGCATATCTCAGTTAAATCGCAGCAGAAAAAAAATTACTTAGAAGTTGTATGAAAGCTCTCGATGCACTAGAAGTTCCATGATCTTTTATTCTATCTTATCGTTCATAAGTTGCAAAGACAATCTTCTATTAAGTTCCTGAAAATAGTCATATTGTTTTGGTAGCCTCGCCGATAATTCTTAGTTTCAATTCAATTTTCTCAACACATCGTTAGTAAAACGAATTGTTTTTACTTAATCTACATGTATAGAATGAGGAATAAATAGATAATATCCGATGAAGAAAAAAGGAAGACGATCTGAAGTAATAAGAGTGTTCTTACAACAATACAGTCAACATATCCAAATATCTTGGTGTCATGCTTAATAGCACTCCTTTTTTTCTGAAGAATAAGATCTTTCAGTAGCAACATTTGACCATCTCACTAGGTTAATAACTGAGAAAAACGATATTTAGTTGAATAGTTTACATGAGATTCGTTCACAGTGACACGTACTACACGCATAGTTATTAGTCCTAAGCGAACCTCAATTAGTGTACTTGTTTGTGAAGAAACAGTTTAAAGAAAAATAGCAATCGAGTACATATTCAGTGTCTTTTTGTGTGTTTTGAAAAATCCCTTTAGAACTATCCTCAAACAGAAACACATTTTTAGACTGAAAAGGAAAACTTTATAGAACAATCTTCCGCCTTTATATTCCGAGATACGTTTCCTTCAATTGTGAATGTACTGTTCTGTGATAAAAATGTTTTCGAGTTTATAAAAAAAAAAAAAAGTGCAAAGATAAAGTAACCTTGTGATTAAGATAGAATCGCATTTTACTGTAAATTTTCCCACTATAGAAAGGTCTCTTCATGTGTGATCCGTGTGAATGTGCACTGTATTAAGTAGATCTTCCCATCATAGGCAACTTTTGTCAAAGAATACTGAAGTGATCTCACACTATGTTTTAAATATGAAAACGCATGTTTCAATAAATTTTGTTTTCTATTAGCTGAGTAGCTGTTTTTTCAAGAATTTTTTAATTTGAAACTGACAGGTCGATATAACGACCGAAGGAAAATATTGTTCACATTGACCTAAAATAGTATCATAGAGACAAATACAAAAAAGAAATCCAATCGAGTGCAGATATTATTCTATAAAAATTGATTCTTAGACTTAGTTGTTTGCTTCGTTTATCCAAGGAGAATGGTTTTTTAATGTGTCGAAAACTTTAGTTTAAATATTCTTCACTTATGAGTATAATATGAGCTCTCAATCTTGAAATTACTGATAAAACTGTCATTAGATGTACCTAGTAAATACCTCAAATATTTGCTATTTCTAACAAAATTCATTGAATTTCTTCGACTAAAACTGTTTCCTAACCATTTTCCATCTAAATAATACGACTAGAACCAATACAAAACTTTTCTATGGAAAAGCATCCTTCAAAATATCATACAACCTCTAAAATCTTTCAATCTCCTCTTTCTTTCTTGACCTTTTATCTTATAGTTTTTGTCATAATGAATATAATGATCCATAGCTGACAAAGTTAATGGTTAAAATTCTTTTTAACAATAATATGATGTTGCATATCTCAATATATAAGAATTTCATTACACTCTTTTTTCTCTTTCTCTCTAGTTCGTTCACGATTTGGTTCTCGTGCGAAGTTTGAAATGATTGAAGTAACAAATGAAACAGCATCAGCTATACCAACAGTTTCATCGTTTCCAACAACTGTTCCTACTGTAACATCAGCTGTATTAAAAGCACAACGAAAAAAATTGTCTAAGAAAAATAAATAAATAAACAAATAAATAAAAACTTGAAACATCCGATAGGCTCAAAATCTTTATTGTGCGCTTTTAATATTTCGGTGACTCACCATAATCATGACGTCAATGTGTTTACGTATTAGAAATAGTTATTACTCAATATAAAACAGAGACTTCAGTATAGATAAGGAAAATAAACACGTTTCTTTTTGAAAGACATAAACATGAATCGAATATTCTCATTGTTTCATAATAAGAATGATGCACCATTATCAAAAATATCTCGTAAGAATTTTATTGAGTCATTAATTGTTCATAAACAGACAAAAGAATTTTCATCATGTTTACGACAAAAAGATGATCGAACATTATGTATTGATGGATTTTTTGATTTATTACCAAAAATACTTGATGAAAATTATATGTTGAATTTATTTGAATTAATTTATAAAAAATCACGATTAACATCAAAACAATTATCAACAATAATTGTCAATAAACTTTCACGTGCAATTTTTGATGAAAATTTTGATTTATGTGAAAAAATTCTACATTTACCATTTCAATCTTTACAAATGTCTTTATCAACTTTTGCACTTATTAAATTGACTCATGCATGTTTAAATAAGAATCAATTAATTCGATGTTTATCAATTTTAATTGACAAAAATCTTCCTTATGATACTGAATATTTTTCTTGGATCTTAATAACTATTTTTGAACATTATATAATAGGTGATGAAATTATTATTGAACATCTATTAAATCTTAAAAAAAATAGTAATGTATTATCTACACGTTATGGAAATAATAATATTACACCATTAATGCTTTTCTTTCATTTATATTCAAACAATAAATGTCAGATACTGATTGATAATTATTTATCGAATATTAATGATCAATCGATATTACTTCAATGTGATAGATGGAATCGTTCATATTTAATGCATCTATTATGTGGACAATGTCAACATGAATCTGAAGAAAATTCTTTTGAAATATTACCTGATGATATTTTAGATATAAATAAAAAACTTCTTAATCGATGTCCACATGCTTTAGTTATTCTTTCGAAATTTTCAATGTTGTATAAGTTAGGAAATAAATGTGATACAATAATTAAAACAATTTTAACATCACAATATTGTCTTTCACTGCGAATTATTTTATTTAATTTTTTATTAGAAAATGATTCATCAATGGAACTTAAATTTAATGAATTTTTCAATTATTTTCCTCCACAATCTATTCCAATTTATTCGAATTATCTCAAACGATTAGTTCATAAACATAATTTAAATTCTGCTCTTGCTTCTGTATTATTCAATCATCGAAATAATCAATCTATTGAACAAACAATTAAATTTCTTTTGCAACAAGGTGCTCGTATAGATCATATGAAAAATATGAATTATATTATAACTACTCTACTTTCAAATAATCGTTCAATGATTCCATTCATGCTACTTGATTATTCATTGTATATTGATATACCTTATCAGATGTGGTTAAACGAACGAAGTCCAAGCATGACTTTATATATATGTCGCATTATTCAGTGCGGTTATCCTAATGAATTTCGAACAAAATTTCAAGAATTCAAGTCTCATCTATCTGCACAAACAGTGAAAGTAATAGAAAAATTTATTGATTTAAAAAATCCATTATGTTTATCAAAATTGTGTTTACAAAAATTAAGAAGTTCATTGAAAAATTTAGGTGATGAAACAAATGATAAATTAAAAGTTTATATACCAAATCGATTAAGAAAATCGATAACATTCTTTGGATACGATGAATGTCTAACATATTTTCGATTGGTTATAAATACTGGATAATAAGTTTTGTAAAAATATAAAAAACAGAATGTGTAGAAATTTTGGAACAAGAAATCGATTAATCAAAAAATTAAATTCTTCGTTGAGACTATTTTTTAAAATGTGTCTAAAAAAATGTGGCTAATTGCAATATCAAATCCTAGTATAAGTCTCTTTTGCTTTTAGTTATATCAATAACTAATTATACGAAAGATTTGGAGAAACCAGTGAAGTCTAATAGTAAGCATTTCTCAAATAGCTACCAGAAATTAAATATTTTAATATTCTCTTATTTTCAAATGTTCACAACTATACCGCGTAGATTTATATTGAACAAATTCATATAAAATCAAGATATATCCAGGCAAAAAAATGATCTGATCCTTGAAACTTGGGCCAGTGAGAGAGCCAATGAAAATTGTTTTAGTTAATATGTGAAAAAAAATCAAAAGGTTTCTATTTTTTGTATCAGTGTACTGCTTGCAGATACAGCACCGTTTAATCAATAATAACACATAAACTAAAAACAGATTAAGAAAACAAATAGGTACACACCGAAATATAAAGATGAAAGATGGAAGCAAGCGGAACAAGAAACAAGTTTTTGTAGGCGTATATTCTCAAAAGAATTTCAACTCACTGCTAACCTTATATATGCCTTACTAAAAATGTCATTTAATGGAAAAATTACTGCAGTAACTCAATTGATATCAATATTCTAATTAAAAGAAATTGCAAATTACATGCAGGAATAAAATCCTAAAAATAACTACTGTTGTGGTCTGAATGCAATATAAAACAAAGGAGGATGAATCTTTGTCTGCTGTACACGTCAATTATCTGATTTTATTGAATAAATTATTCAAGCAGAGGTAAGACAAGTACAAGTATTTTGTTTGTACGTAAAAAAAATTACTTTTACTTTGAAAAAAAGGTACCTAGTACTTGGCACTTATACTTGTACTTTGGCAGAAACACTTGATAGTTATATCAGATAAATCATAATGACCGCAACACACAGTATTTTGCAAATTCTGCGAAACCAATTACAGTTTGACGTTCATGGATTCCGAACACAGTTTGTCAAACTTTATAGAAAAAAATCGTCAATTTTGAAGAATAGCTTTTCTTTTGATAAAATCGGAAAGTTTTCATTACTTCGTTATCGTTACTTAATAACGGTAACTTCTCTCACCTAGTACTAATATCATGAAAAGTTTTGTTTGAAATAAGAAGGGAACTATTTGTCAACATTATTTGGAGTTTTAGTTCTCTCAGAATAACACTTTCGTCCAAGATTCGTATTCGAAGCTATAAAGCGCGATACTACACATGAGAAATGCATCTCTTGTCTTCAAGGGTGACGAATAGCAAAGTACCATTTTAACCATTATGAATCAGTAACTTTCAAAATACTTTAGAAAACATGCCACATGAAGCCTGAGGTCTACAACGAACAGTCAACAATACAGTAAGTCACACTTATATTCAAAATTCTACCTAAATTCATCATTAGTTTATTGCTCGACAATTTTTTCTTATGACAGTGTCTACCAGATGCGGCATAAAGATTACAACATTTAATATTTTGCAAATATCTCATCACATATCAATCGTATTATCTTGATTCTTTTTTTTTAAAAGATGCGCTATGAAAAGCTCTACAAAAACTATAAGAACAAATTTCTATTGACTTGTTCTAATGGTGTATCTAATATTCAAAATGAGTAGGTCATATGAAGGTGCTATGTCCCACCGTATTAAATATTTAAAGACTTTTTTGTTTTGCAATAAGATGTTATTCATACAGTTTTTGTAAAGCTTTCGACGGTGCATCTTTGAAAAAAATCAAGACGTTATCATTTTCCCAACTCGAGATGTTCTCAAAATAAAAGGAAATCTTCCAGATATTTTCCTTATACTAAATATGGTGAAACATAGCGTCGGCATGTGATCTGTTCATTTTGAGTATTGAAGAAACCATCTGAGGAAGTCAATAGGAATTTGTTTTTTCCAGCTTTCGTAAAGCTTTACACCAGACATCTTTTAAAAATAAAATCAATATTCTAGTATTTTCTTAAGTCGAGATTCATACGAAATAAAAAATATCGTAAACATTTTGGAACACTCGGTAGCAATATCACGCAGGTCTTTAATTTTAAACCACTAAAAAAGCCTTCCGAGCAGGTCAATACAGACTTGTTCATACAGCTTTTGTAGAGCTTTTGACGGCGTATCTTCTAAAAAATCGTCAAGATGTTTTCATTTTCTCAAGGTGAGATATTTGCAAATAAAAAAAAGTCTTTCAATATTTAATACGGTGGGACATAGCGCTATCATGTGACCTATTCATTTTGAGTATTAGAGACATCATTAGAACAAGTCAATAGAGATTATTCTTATAGTTTTTGAAGATCTTTTCACAGCGCATCTTGTAAAAAAAAGAATCAAGATAATACGATTGACATGTGATGAGATATTTGCAAAATACTAAATGTTGCAATCTTTATGTCGCACCCGGTATTTAGATTTCATCATTAACAAATATGTCTCGGTAAATTTAAATGAAATGTTTTTTTTTATTTTGATCTTCGATTCACCAATTGAATACAGTGGTAAAATGAAAAGATTTTTTTAATGTTATGTTCATTACCTAGCTTTAACATCTATCAGGCCAATTTTGTGACCAATTAAACATAATATTAGTCCTTGTTTTTTTATACTGAATACAAATAAGTTTTTCAAAATTTTAATTTAGATATCATCTTATACAGTATTAGTTCTGTCTTATTCTTGATTTAGATCAATAACTGAAAAATTTAATGTAATAATAAATTTATATAAATCATTTTATGTATTTTCCTTCTGTGTTATTCAACTTCATCATAAATTATTTCAACTAACGTTTAGATCCCCAAAATGATTATATTCATTTGCATACTTCCTTCAGATTTACAAATCAAGCATTGAATATATTAGTAAATTTACATAGGACTATTCATGTTGTTTTTATTCTCTATTTATATTTATGATTCATCATTTGCACTTAATATCAACTACAAATAGAATGGAAGTTTTGTTTTTTTCCTATGATTATTTAGATCCATTATTTGATAATCAAATTTACTTTAATGTTCAAGTGAAATTTCATTGTTTGTTTTTTCTGTTCTTCTTTTATATTTATATATCAAAGATTACATATAATGATGGGCTAAAATAAAATATTTTTATACGTTGTTTTATTACTTACATAGAAGAAAACAAACTCATCATCGAAAATTGCATTTGCTATTATGAAAATATGTTTAGAATTGATGAGAATGATCTTTTCATATTTAATTCATAATTTATTGAAATTTTTCTAACGTTAGTTTATTATATTATAATTTACATTAATTAACAATTAATTTGTTACTGATACAGAAAAATCATGTTGGAGATTTTTCTGTTGGATTCTTTACAAACTATGGTAAGTATATATTTTATAAGTGTCTTTTAACAATGTCATTCAACAACATGTTTTTAATAGCAGAAAATTTCAATAAATGATTTATTGAAATCAGAATAATGCACTGTTTTTGTATTATTGGATATTTCAAAAAGAAATAATACCATCATCAGCAAATGACCTTGTCGATAATATTCGAACAAATAAACATTAAATATGAGCTACTTGTGATGAGCTTGAATGCCATTATAAATTAGCTTGATTCGGATGAACCAAAACAAAATGATATAACATCAAATGATCAACGAAAGGTTGTTTTAGATGTTTATTGCTAATGACATGCACTGATTGAGGTATAATGATGTATATTGGATGTTGTATTACTCTATTAGAAATAAAAGTAAAATAAAAATAAAACAGTCTGTGCTTGTAAGCACAAGAAATAAACTCATTCTTATTGTTGTTGTGTTAGTTTTAATCTAGAAATAATTGTATAATTGCATGAAAAACAATACAAAAACCTACGTGAGATTAACAATTCATTCATTTTTTACGTCATTCAAAACAAATAGTCTTTTGAACTATTCCTATTATTTACTCGACATCAATTCTACTGGATTAGTATATTACAGAATAAAGAATGAAATTTATTTAAACTTTAGCTGAAAACAACGGACATCTGTCGAAGATTTTTATATATTGGATTCATTTTAGCGGCGAACGAACACAACGATTATGTATTCTTTTCGGTAAAATTCAAAATTTTAATTAATCAAAACTAATTATTCGATTCTAACTATGACTAATGTTCGAAAATCAATTGGCAAGTATATGATGAACTTTATAAAGTTTTCTATATTTCTATGTGCTTTTTTCAGATGGTCGAAAACGTGCCCGTACTATGGAATATATTGATAGTCAAGTCGATATTAAGGATGATGAACCTAATGAAGCAAATGCTCATATTGGTCAACATATTCATGCTCAATTCGATGTTTCCATGCCATTAATTGACGAAATAAATTCGAACGAATCTACATTCGAACGGATTCTTCAACCTATTCCATTAATTCCAAAATTAAAACAAAGAGACAGTGAACGTTCATATCTTCAAAGACAAATGAGTGATATTAGTTTAAATCGTTTTATGAATGATGCAAATAAGACAACAACAGAATTGAAAGGTCGTGATCATATAATTCGTGTTATGAAAACCACAAACAATAAACCAGTTATGGACTTTAAAAATCATAAATTTATACAAGAAATGATTGCTAAACGACAAGAAAAACAAGAAGCTAATAAGCCAATATCGGATTTTGCATTAAAATATGGCTTGATTGATAATAATGGGAAAAAATCTAAAAGTCGAAAAACATCTGACCTAATGTAAATTCTTTTCTTTTTATTTATTTATTTTTTCTATTCGTATTTTTTTTAAAGTATTGATATGGAACAACAATTAGAAAGTTTAAAACCAACATTAAAAAAACGACAAATGATCGATAGTGAGTAGATGAATATACATTCGAAAAAAATTCATTTTAATTTATTTTCATTTCAGCTAAAAGTCCATTATTAAGAGTGGTCAAATTAGAATCAATATGTAATCAATTACTTTGTTATTGTCAATATGTAACTGATCGAGAAGATCTCGTACTTTTTCTTGATCCGAATGATGAACAATCAAAAAATTTAGCAATTAATGATGAAATTCGTATTGCAGGAGAATCACGGTGAATATTCTTTTGTTTATAGAGTTTTCTTTATCCTTTTTTTTTATATGTATGTTGTCAAATAGATTACATATGAATTTACCAGAATTAGGTTCAGTTGTATTAGGTGTAACTGATGTAAGAAAAGAATCAATTAATGCTAATGAAGAAGATACTCCAATGGCAGCAATTCATACTTATGATTTTAATTGTTCATGTAATAAATGTACTTTGGGTAATCAGATCAATCAAGATTTAAGTAAAAAGATTTCTTAAAATCAATGAGAAGATCTTGTCGAATTTCATGACCTATCTTCAACCAGGATACCAAATCTGTAGTTTTGCAGTGCAAATTGCGGCGCAATGAATGGTATATAAGAAATCAATATTTACGAAAATTTTCATATATCAAGGGTCGATACACTGGTCATAATACTGGGCGAATATTATTGAATACACATAGACTTTGTGGTCATGAAGATGTTCTCAGATAAACTTATGCAAGTTTTGTTTTTAAACTTAATTCAATACAGCCCAGAGGTGTTCTTCAATTTTCTAAGAATTTTAGACTACGTCTTGACTAAATAGTTGAGTATATTCAATTTTGTACCATAGAATAAGTGAGTACCAACGATTATCAACTTGCAACATTGTTTCCTAGAATATTCTCTTTTCCTATATGAAGAGGCTGGTATACTGACGAGAATTTAATAATAACCAAGGATTCTCTTAAAAAATTTTATGCATTAATAATTAGTACGGTATTCCTGATGAACTAATATAAGTAACTCTTTCATAATCAAGAAAAAAGGTTTTCGTCAACAGAGACTTCTGAAGGTGGATACACGGATACAGAAGAAAATTTTTTATCAGTATAGGATAATTATAGATTCTTGTATAGTTACATGCAAAAAAAAAATTTGAATTCTCGAAATAAAAATTTGAAAAAGAAGTAATAAAAATAACAGACTTCTTTTCTGCAGCCCCATATCCATACTTCCCTACAAGGATCTGAAGGCAAAAAGCTTTCATTTTTATGAAGAAGTTATTTACATCAATTCATTAGGAATGTTGTGCTGATTATTGATGCATAAAGTTTGTTTTTATGGTACAATCAAATATTGTGGAAATGTCGTCCATATCCTGCCTTTTCACATAGGAAAAGAGAATATTCTAGGAAATAATCTTGCAAGTTGATATTCGTTGATATTCATTTATTCTATGGCACAAAGTTGAACATACTCAAATATTTAGTTCAGACATAATCAAAATCCAAGAAAATCAACAATTTTAAAGTATAGTGGAAGCAAAGATAAAAACTATTGATTATAGAAAATTGAGAAACATCTATAATTTGATTCAATTGAATTTCAAAATATTGTTTGTATACGTTGATCTAGAACATCTTCGAGAACACAATGTCTATCAGTACCATATATATTTTCTAAAGAATTTTATGCAATCTATAAACCCTTAGAACATCAAAATTGGAGAACAAATTGATTTCTTATGTACTATTCGTTATGTCATTAATTGTATTACAAAGCTACATATATGATATCTTGGTTGAAGCTAGATAATGAAATCCGACAAAGTCCTTTGATAACATCTCTTTTTAGCACCAACATTTGATCTTCTCTCTACATTTCCTAATGATGCTAAACATCAAGAACAAACTCATTCTGTTGAAACAATTTATGATTCATTTACATTAGCTTTAATGTCTAAACGAAAGTTTGATCTTCGTGCAACAATAATAATATATGATCCTGATAAGATTAATAATCGGTATTTCCTTTTCAATCGAGTTTATTTTTTCTTTTCATTTGTTGAATACTTATTAGTTATATATTTATTGTTCGTGATGGTATTGGCAATTGTCTTCAAATAATATTAACTGATATTAATGGATTTGATATTGAACTTAAAACAAGAAATTATATATTTCATCAAATAGAATTTATTGAAAGAATTGAATCACCAAAAGAATCGAATCGATGGCCATATGAAGACTATTTACCACCAAAAAAACTTTTTTGTTTCAGATCGATTCATAATCAAGTGTCTATACTGTGATCTTTTTGTGTTATGTTTTTTTCGACTTTGTATGAATGGTTTTACAGTAAGATTAAACAAATAAAATGTGAAGTATAGTAGGGCGAAACTCGTCACTGGAGTGAGTGTGAATGAATTTCAAAGATCAAGGGAGGTGGGAATCATTCTCCTGAAAATAATTATTAGTATATTTTGGACAAAACTTTAATAGTCAAAATATGTTGCATTCAATTAATAATTGTCAATTGTCGAATATTTTTTAACTTAACAAAAAAAAATAATAATAAAGACAGTGATGTAAATATTTTTTGAAATTAATCGTATTATTTCCATGATGCTGTTTCAAATGAAATTGAATAAAAACATAATTCAATTAACATCTTCTATGAAATGCAAAAGTACCAGGTATTCCTGTTGGATATTATAAAGCTGTTAAATTCTACTGTAGAAATGTTAAATTCTGTTCAGAATTATATTCATTTGAAACTTGTACCAAATATTTCACAAAAATTTAATATTCAAACGATAATTTGAATGAAATTCGAACTCTATAGATGTCGTATAATGTCATAGCTTATCATAGGTCAGTTATTTTATTGACAACAAATTGCTACTTTTCTTTGGACTACCAGTATGATTGATTTCGAAAACCTTATTTTCATATATTAGATAATCCTTTATTATTATCAAACAATGCCAAGTTCATCAGACAATAATATTCGATCCACACAAAATTCTCGTATTGTACGCGTTCGTGATGTAAGTTTCTTTAACTATTAACTAGAACACTTGTTGTCTTTTTCTTTTTCATATTAGTTACCAGTCTATTGTGATCCAAAAAATGATGATATTTATCGTTATGTTCCACGAATAGATGATGATGAAAGAAAACCAACAAATAACAATCATTGGCTTTATGCATCTATTAGTCAAACAAGACAATCATTACAACAAATATGGAACGACAATAAGGTTTTGTTTTTTGTATATTTTTATAAAAATTTTCTATTTATTTTCTTAATTGAAAACTATATATAGGATTTACGTTTACGAATTGCTCGTGGATTGGAAACAGGTGAAGCTCATACTAAAGGTAATTGATTTATCATTATAAAATAATATAGACAAAAAACGATACATGACCATCTTTGATTCTTTATAAGAGTTAGTTCTTTTTCCATGAATATATTATTGACTCTTTCAACTCGCATTTAGTTAATATTTCATTAGTCTTTTAATTAAAAAACAATTAGCTAATAGATCTTTAACCCTATGACAGACGATTTCAAGAAATTTAGAATAGATTCAATCTCACTAACTATATCTATGGTGAAGTTTTCGAGAGGCATGCTTATGTTCTAAAACGAAACTTTTTGTTTTACTATCATATCGAGATCTTCAATAAGGATTTGTATCAGTTACAATCGATTTTTAAATCTATTCTTCAGTAACATGAGAATTTCTTTGTTCCTAACGTGTGGATCATAATGAATTGCAGTAAACGTAACGGCAATTTTTTCTCTTACTTACTATTCATAAACAATTCATTCATAGATCAATAGTTAGAGAATTTCAAGTTCTACAAAGACCTGTTCTTCAATTTTAAAAAGAAAGTTTTTTTTGTTGCATAACACCTAACATATTAGCGTACCTTGTATGTTTCGAGTGCGATGCATCGTTGCTCATGCTTTTAAAAAGCAGACTGTACTATGAAAATGGATCTTTAAAGCAAGGAATTTAATATCAGTAGTTTACATATATGAGCATTTAATTTAAAATTTTTATAGCTACAATTGATTATATTCGTGATGATCAAACATTGTTACCAAAAGTTGGTGTCGTAACAATTGCTGGTCTTGGTGGTTTTCTTTTTGGTCACAAAGGTGGTCCTATACGAAAAACACTTTATTCATCTGTTGCTATAGCTGTTGCACTTAGTGCTTGTTATCCAAAACAATCAGCGAATTTATTTGATCAAGTTTATATTAGGATTAAAAATGAATCAAAAAATTTTTTTGATAGTAAAATTAAATATATATAAATGTGAATAAATTGTTTTTATATATAAAAATGATTTTTATTTTTGTAGAAACGACTTCAAATCCATTATCAAAATCTATCGACAATAAAGATCATATTTTGCATACAGGAAAAACTGCAAATGAATCAAGTGTTGCAATTAAACATGATTATGAACAAGGTACATCAGTTGATCAACATTTATTTAAAACACGTGATAATGTTAGTCCAACATCGTTGGGCACAGAAAAAAAATTTTAAACGTCTATTCCTCAATATTACTATTTTGACTATATTTTAGTTAGTTGTGTACGTCATTTTCTTTGTCTTGCTTTTTTTTTTCTCTTCTTAAAAATTCTTTAAAACGTACAAGAAGATTTTAATGTTGTCAACGGGTTATCAACTGTAACTATTGTAGATATTTGCATTTATCTTATTCTTTCTACTTAATTTGAGCAAAAGAAAAAGTTTCTTGTGTTTCATTAAAACACATAAATTATTAGTATTATTATCAATACGAAAATTGTTTTTTATCATGATACATTATTCATAATGATAATAATATTGAATTTATCTTTCATTCATTTTGTAGATTAAGGCATGCATGTTAGTTTTTAATCGCTTACAATATTTTTATTTCTTTATCATATTGATTTGCTTTATACAAATGCCAACATCTACAACAAAAACATGTTGGCCAGAATTAGTAGGTAAAACAGGTGATGAAGCTGTGCAACTAATTAAAGAAGAATCTGGTAAAATAAAAGTTTAAAAACAAGAAATTTCTTTTCTATTTGATCATATTGGTTTAGGTTTATCGAAAGTTCATGTCTGTGGGCCAGGATCCAGAACTACACGTGATATTGATGATGAACGTGTTCGTGTTTATGTCGATGAAAATAATCAAGTAACCACTGAACCAAGTGTTGGATAAAAAAACCGATGGAATATTTATCTTTATGTATATAAATATTTCAATGTAAACTCAATAAAAAAGATCTCATATTCTTAAATGAATTAATGAATTTAATTGAATAAATCGATTGATAAATAGTGTCTAGTTAGTTTAGATCTCTTTCAAGTAATATTATTTTCCTATGTATTTTTTTTTCAATAGAATACAGTAATTTTTATAGTAGATATACGGTAGTCGCAAGAAATCTTGCTATTAAACAAAAAAGGGAACATAATTTATGGTCAGTAAAATAAATGAAGTGGTCAATAGAATAAATAAATGGCTAGTAAACAATGAATGATCAGTGAATTCTTTAAATAGTCAGTTATTAAATTAATTGTTTTGTTAATATATTTTAAAAAATAATTTATATTAAAGAGTAAATATAAAAATCGAAATATATTATAGTGTCATCCTCACATTAACAAAAAGCGCCTGAAAAGCAATTAATAAAACAAACAAAGCTAATGAAACAATTAGAGAGCATCATGCTTTATCGTGATTTTTGGCAATAGTTGTAAACATTGTCGATAATTGGTGAAGTGAACGAAGTTCTTCCTCAATTGATGCAGAAATATTTGTTATAGAATCGACAATATCTTTAGAATTACAGACTTTATTGTATCAATGTGTTAAATCAACGAAAACCGTAGGTTCCCTTGCAAGATGATGCTTCGAAACAATATTATGTTCCAACTCGTCATTTGCAATCGATTGCATAAACTGATTTAAATAAATATGTAAATAAAAAGTTGCCAGCCTTTAATCAACTAAAAAATAATTTGATATTTGGCGTTTGAAAGTGGAACAGGATTTAGATCGGAAAACAACAAATGCAACTGTTCAGCTTTTTTTAAGAACTACATATGCAAAGACGTTGTCGATGTGTCTATTTCTTGGAAATATTGCAAACTATTGGCGGTAAAAATAGTATCGACCAATAAGAAAAGAAAAGAAGAGATAGACCAGTAAAGGCTAGAGCTACTTTGCTAGTACAATAATTGATTTTCATTCTCTTTTTTCCTTTTATTCTTTGTGTATCCATTTAATGATCTTCTGGATTTCTTCCTATCTATTTACTCTTTAGTTTTTTCTATTTATTTAAATTTAATTTTCTTATGCTAAATTGATCTTTATACCAATAAGTGGTATTTTTTTCTGCTGTCAAAATCTGCATTTTCACTTATCAAGTTTTAATTGTTTTACTGATACTTATATATAAAATACTAGCAACTTTATGATTAATTACTGACCATTTTATAATTAGTTACTGACCATTGTACTACTGACAATTCAATATTTCCACTGATCATTTATATAAATTTTTACTGACCGTTTCATTTATTCTACTGACCACGAAAATGATAGCCAATAAAAAATATACAAAACTCTAATCATTTTGTCTGATATTTTGATTTCAAGTAGAATTTGGTAAAACTCTGATTGCAAGCAGCAACCCAAGGTCGACAAGGACCAAAAAAGTTTTTTTTGACACTTTTCTGATTTTCTAGTATTTTGAATGCGTTAACATCCATTTTCTTTTTAACGCATAAATGTTCGCATATTTGTATTGTGTCACAAATAGTATATTACAGTCTGTTATAACCTTAAGATGCGGAGAAGCCTCTATTGTGTGGAACGATCTCAGCACGAATCTATCCTTGATTGATGGCTTCTATCGTGAAATTTTCAAGAAAGACTTGATTAGAACAGGATAATCGGTTAGAAAAAAATTTCAAAACAATGGGTTAAAATTAATCTGAGATATCGGTCACTTTTTGACGATTCCCATCAACCCTCATGTACAGATTATCCAAAGATTATTTCATAAAGCAGGCCTACTAAAACCAATTTGACATGAAAACTTTATTGATGATAGAAACAGCACTAACGTATCAAATGAGGAGTCTAATGTCATGAGGTTTAATTTCAATGTTGAGATATCCTAATCTAAAGAAACGAATTCATCTTGAACTTCTAGCTCCTCTACATGAAGATCGATCAAATTTTAATTATGCCTTGCCATCAGAGTTCAACATACCTCTATTTGTAGTGAAATTATAGGCGTGAAGAATCGAGTTTTTGGCACTTTTTGCGACTATTACACTAGACATTTAGATCTACTCTATGCGTTCTTCCTCTTCTTGTCACACAGATGAAATTGACACAACATTCATAGGAAAACTTTTGAATTATTTTCACAAACAGCAGGAATGAAAAAATTGCAATTATTCGATTAATCTTTCAAAATGAATAAGTTTAGTTTTCTGCGTTTTGTCATGTTTTTTTCGCAATTGCGATTCAAAAATAAAAGTTGGAATCTTGATTTGTACATCATCTTGTAGATTAGAAGCTACTCTACCAAATGTACTATTTGAAGTATTTTTTATCTTTTGACAAGAACCCTCAATTTTCGTTTTTCTTAAGTACTTATTTTTTGAGAAGTCGAAAACCGTTCTAAATTGAAAGAGCTCTTGGAAAAATGATTGGATAAAAGCTACAATTTAGTTTAAGATCATACTTTGTAACGAAGTATCCGATTTACAAAACGATCGATTCGGACAATTTTTAGCATGTTCGAAAAGGAACTTAAAGAGTAAACAAAATCCTGTTAACTCTATACTAAAATTAATTTTTTAGGTCTTTCAAAAAACTTCACAAAAAAAACATAAAATTTTTAATCGCACATTCCAAATCTGGTTTGGACCTATAGTTTTACGTATCTAAAACGCTTACAAGCAAGACTATGTTCACTAGGAACATCTCAGTCTACAACTTTGATCCAAACTAATTTTTCAAAGATTATTTCACTATTTTCAAACAAAAACTGAGACAAAATTTCTAAGCTTATATTCAACAAGAGCATGAAATTCTAATGGTAACTTGCAGCTTTTGATACGTTCTAGCGGGTCAAAAATGAACAAACGTTCTCATATAAAAACTTTCTGATCATCGATTGTATGCTATAAATATCGGTTTAGCCTACTGTAAAAAGCATATCAGAAACAAAAATTACTTGCAGCGACTCAAAACTTATTAAACATCCTGTATGAAGACTATAGAAAAGGATAAACTATAATATTGATAATCTTTGTTTTTCTACTTTTGTCTCGTCATTTGCATGTCATTAATCAATTGAACAATGAAACTCAAGGATAAAGATGTGATTATATTGATAGTAGAGACTAACAAAACAGAAGATGAACTATTTATATGCGTATGACAATTGCCATTGTTTACTGACACATATCTACTTTTCTTTTCATGTCAACAAATATTGAGCAAAAAGAAAAATAAATCATCTGCCATGCAAATATATTGAGCTACTATATGCTAAATCAATAAAAATTTTTCTAACTAAATTTTGAGATTTCTTCTTAACAGTTACATTTTATTGTAATCATCATCTTAATCGAGCAAATTATTCAATGAAGTTATTGTATGAATCAATTTTATATTAAGCATATATGTTAAGTCGAATGTATTATTGATGATTTTTCATGGATTCGTAAAGTTGTCCTTTTTTGACAATCACGTTAACACGTTGATGATATAGAGTTATAGATGCAAATGTGAAGCGACTCAATAGTTTTATCAATAAATGCTGAACATATATGCTAGACTGTTGGTTGTTATATCTTATTGAATTTCTTCTGGATTGTTCATAGTGTGAAAAAAATTAATGATTTTTTTTCTATGTTAAAGTGTTTAGAATGAATATAATCTCATACTTTAAGAACACGAGAGTCCTTGAAAGAGATAGTGAGAAAAAGACAAAAAAAAGAACTGAATGGTTATCGAAACATGCATTCACATGACTTAGACTATTAATTTTTCTTTTTTTTTGTAAGATATATATATGCATAAGATTAGAGAAAAATTAAATGAGAAATTATGTCTCACATCTAATGATGACATATATCCGGTCATGAGATTATTATTAATCTTAACATAATGTTCTATGAAATAAGACATTAGTGTAAAAACGTAAACTGTAAGAGAAGCAGTTGTATACAAGAGCAATATCAATGCTAAAGACTTAAAAGTTAGTTTTTTTTGTCACTTTTTGAGTCCAATTAATAGTGGCAAGATGAAAAGCAAAATATGGATTATTATTAAGAAATAAAAATTTTCTTCCGTTGTTTGATCTGATGAATAACTTAGTTACAAAAAACAGTTCATTTCTTTATTAATTCTCGTATTAAGAGAAGTTGTTTAGAGAAAGCGATGATAACATATGATTCTTACTTCGGTTTCTATTTAAAACCTAAAAGTAAACTTTAGTTGTTATTCGTGTCTAATGTTTATGAATATGTTATAAAAACCATCTGCAATAGTTTTGTACAAACACTTCATATGCTCATAAGTGTCACTCTCTAAAATGTTCAATGAATTATACAAAGAAAGAAGACTATACTTATGAATGAGACTTAGATGTAATACAATCCATTATGATATCAGTTTTATCAAATAATATCTGACAAGCAAAATTTCGTAGTAAACAACTAGCAATCTGGTTTCTCACTTACAAAAAAAATCGATCTGAGTATGGTTCTCTAAGATGACAATATACCTATAGTACAATGGTATCATTCATGTAGAGAATGTTTCTGTTTTTTTGTTCAATATCTTCATGCATACGTTAATTAACTTTACATTTGACGGAATAGTTTCGAAGAAAATAGGAAATCTTTAATAGTTTTTATCGTAGAAAAAAAAAACTTTGAATAGCTATGTTCTAAAACAATTTAGAAGTTCAACATTTTTATTCTGTCTTTCAAAATATATAATTACATAATCAATCAAATCCTTTTCTTTCATTATAAATAATCCATGATGATCATGTAATAATCATGAATGTAAAATGTAAAATCAACATGAAAATATTGAATATCATTAAAGTGTACAGTTTACATACTTTGGACATGTCATATTTGAATATCTAACTTCTATTTTAATTACTTGTTAAATTTTAAAACAATAATATTACTTGAAGTTTATCTTCAGATCAAATTTCAATCAATGACATCTCAAGTCTTTTTGTTTGAATTTATACTCAACACTATGATAAATCTGGAATATGCACTAATGAAATCAATATTTGAATAGTGACATAGATAAATGTACAAGGAGATGCATATTCATTTTAATAATAGATTGTAATGCGTACGACCTTAAAATTGTCATTAATCTGAAAAAAAAACTTCAATGTTTTGCCAGTTCTTACTGTTCTTATCATACACATAAGTATATTCATTAAGTTCAAACAAATTCGTTTATAGAATAATGATACCGTGATCATACATCAAAAATTAAGATTAAATATAAATGACGATGTATCAATAATGTTTAAAACAATGAACATTAACTTTTCAATGAATGTTTAATTTAAATATTCATAATATTAAAAAAACTCATCTGCTCGATTGTATTGAATAATGAACATATTAATGTATAGAAATAACATATTTTTATCAAATATTATTCTTATTTTTTCTGTTAATGTTTTTTTTTATATATTAAGAATGATTTCAATTGAGTATGAAAGTCTAAAGCAGATATTTCTTAATTAAATATTTGTACACGTACAAAATGTTATATTTCATACAATGATATACTAGAATGTTTAAAAAGATATTGTTTATAAAGAAGAATGGACAAATATTTTGTGTCAATAGTAACATTTCAGTCACATATTATTCATTAGGATGAGAAGAACAATATATGATTCAACAATATCTAGCTCTTTTTATATACGAAAACTTATTATACTATGAAACAACTATCTCTAGTTGATTGTTTTTATTTTCTTATTACAAAATTTTGAGAGTGTTTAATCAAAGTATTTTTTTTCTTTTTCAATATAAAAGTAATCACACATCATCGTTTTTGTTGTGATGTTGTTTAACAAATACAGTCGCTTTAATCTCGCATAGAAATTTTTATGAGACTATAGATCAAAAGTGTTTGTCTATATGTACGATAGGATGATGATTATGATGATGATGATGATGATGATGATGATGATGATAATGTTCAATCCGTAATCCGACTCAGAAAACAAGGTGAACTGTCTCTCAGTCTCTTTCTTTCTTTCTTTTTGATCACAATAGATGTGCATATATGAGTAATGAAACAATAAACGGATCTCTTCTTTTCTTTTCTTTTCTTTTTTTCTTTCTGTTTCACTGATCATTTGCATATCATTAATACATTGAACACCGGCATTCAAGGTAAGAGCAGCCGACTACATAGATGATGGTATTGATAAATAGGACAAAAAGTGGGTTATTTGTATTGGAATGACAATCGTCGTTGTTTACTGACACATACCTATTTCTCTCTCTCTCTCCTCTCTCGGGTCTCCTTTTTTTTCTACTTTTTTCAATACAATAAATATTAGTTGTACTTAAAGATACAGTGTGAGAAAGAAATTTCATCGTGCATTTCTTCATACCATATACACTAAGTAGTCTCACACGCCGAACAGTGTATCAGTAAGTATCATAGACTTCTAGTAAGAATAATTGTCAGATATATATATACACACAATGCAATATCTGTCTGCGATGAAGCCATGTTATTCTTGTTTACAAGATACTAGAGAATCTTTGTATTAATATGAATATTTGTCTCGTCTCTATTCAGGATCAAATGACATTTGATTCATTTAAACTACGAAAATAATTGAGAGAATACAATGAGAGCATTGTCAAGACAAACAACCATATCGTTTTATCTTTAATTTTTTTTTCAATTTTACTTTAATTTTCATTACAGAACATTTCTTTTTCTGAACTATGGCATCGAAAAACATCATCAAATCATCATGGATGTTTTTAACAATTTTAATCATTATTTCACTCATGAATGATATGACAAATGCTCAAAGTACGTATAGTAGATCTATCTATGAATATAGAATGTAGTGGATTCTATTTATAATATACTATACGTATATATACATATATATATATATTCTTCTATAGTATGCACGCCAGATGTATGCAATAAGCATGGTACATGTATTCCGAATACTTCTAGTTCATTCACTTGTCAATGTGATCCGGGTTTTGTCGGACCGACATGTGATCAAGGTAGTTTTTTAACTTGAGACGAATGAACAAAAAAAAACGTGTAGTTGTTTGTAACATTAGAATTAGATGAATGCGCATCGCACCCATGTGCTAATAATGGTACCTGTATTGACTTAGAAAATGGTTTTCTTTGTCATTGTTTACCTGAATGGAATGGTACTTTATGTACAGAACTTAAGAGTAGGTCTAGTTTTTTTTTGTTTGTGAAAAGAAATTTTAGTCAAGATATAACATATTTGTATAATCTTAGATCCATGTCAATCATCTCCATGTGGTCCACTCGGTAAATGTATTCAAACAAATCAAGTACAATTACCATATTATTGTCAATGTCCAGATGGACAAAATACTGTGTTTAAATGTGCTGATCCAAGTATGTTGATTTTGTAAAAAAAAGAAAAGAAAATTTCACTAATTATAATATCTATAGTTTTGAAATGACGAATTAGATTTTATAATTCTTTTTACACATTCTCTTTCATTAGATCCATGTCTACCGAATCCATGTGGTCCTGGAGATTGTGAAATTACTGCAAATTTACTCAATGGATACATTTGTCGATGTCATGATGGTACTATTCAAATGGCAAATTGTTCAACACCAAAAAGTAAACATTTACTTTTTATTCTTGATAAAAATTAATCTTGTTTGAAATTCTAGATCCTTGTGCAACATTACCTTGTGGACCACAAGGACGATGTTTAACTCTAACAGCAGCTCCAAAAGGTTATATGTGTATGTGTCAAAGCGATGGTATTACTTTTACGACTATTGATACATGTCCAAGTAAAGGATATCTTATTGAATAAATTTTAAAGATATCTTTATTTATATTTATAAATAGCAACGAATTCAGTTTGTACTCATTTAACGTGCAAGAATGGTGGTACTTGTTTACCATATTCAGCTAATGAGCCATCATGCACTATTGGACAAATTGGCTCCACTTGTTGTCAATGTATATAATAGAATTGAAATGTTTTTAATAAAAATTAGAATGAATATATATATATTGTTTTCATAGGTCCTCCTAATTATACAGGTCTGCGATGTGAACGAGGTTTGTTTTTGAATTAAATAAACTAGAAAACCAATGACAATTTTTAATTTTTTTTATAGAAATTGATTTTTGTTCATCAAATCCATGTAAAACAAATGGACGTTGTCTATCAGGTAAAACTGGATATCGATGTCAATGTTATGAAGGATTTACCGGTGAAAATTGTGAAGGTAATAAAAAAAAATATTTAATTGTTCAAATAATAAATAAATAAGTATTCTCTTCAAATAGTCCGTATCACAAGATCAGGTTGTTTATCAAATCCTTGTTCCACTGGTATTTGTTATCAATTAAATCAAAATGGACCTTCTTATGTTTGTATTTGTCCAGATGGTACACTCAGTCTATCATGCAATTCAACTAGTAGGTTTTGTTTTTATTATTGAAGCTCTTTTAATCGTTTGAATAAAAAAAAAAAAACCAAAACTTAGATTCAACTCGCAATCTCTATGCATTACCAACAATACCATCACCACAGACAACTACTCCAATAGTTTCATTAATGTTTGGTCATAATGCAAAATATGGTTCAGAAACAAATGGTAATGCTGTTCCATCTATTTCGACATGTAGTCCATTATCAAGAAATGCATGTAATGGTGGTCAATGTGTATTAGTCGGTGGAACGACCTATGCATGTCGATGTCGAGAAGGTTATACAGGCGTTTATTGTGAAAATAGTTGAGTACAAAATAAAAATCAATGATTTTATTTATAATTTCTCATTGTTTTATTTTACTAGATATTAATGAATGTGCTTCAAATCCTTGGTAAACAAACAATTTTTTTTTCATTTTTATTTTTATTATTTTCAATTTTAGTTTGGGAGGTGGTACATGTTATGATCTAATAAATGCATATGCATGTTTTTGTCCTGATCGAGTTTTTCGACCACAATGTAATACAACCGGTGTATCACCAAGTGTAACAGGTTCTTCAGTTTTAATGATTAGTAGTAATCGTAAGTGACGTAAAGAAAAAAAATTTATTTCTATATTTCTTTTTCAATAGATAAAATATCAATTAGTCAAGGAGATAAATCATTACAATACGCTTGCCATTGTCGCAATGGGGGTTTATGTTATACCGGTTCAGCTGGTGCAAAACTTTGTCAATGTTTTAGTGGATTTACTGGACCAATGTGTGAAATATCAATTTGTATGTTTTGTTTTTGTTCCATTCGAATGATTTGCTGATGATTTATTTGAGAAAATGTTGTTTTTTTAGCTTCGAGTATAAGTCGTGGTCAAAGTATGTGTAGTCCATCATTATGTCAAAATAGCGGAACTTGTCAAGAACAAGGAGGCACACCTATTTGTATTTGTAAACCAGGTTTTACTGGTCAACGATGTGAATCTGGTAATTAAATAAAATTTTTTTTCGCAATAAAATTTTGTTTTCTTTTTTTTAGAATATTTCCGTTGCCAAGCTAATGGTCGTTTCCCTGATGTATCAAGCTGTAAACAAGGTCGATACTTTGAATGTGTATATTTTGGACAATGTAAGTTAAAAAATAAAAAAACAATTTTATATTTATATGAAATTATTATTTAGATGATTTGGGTCTACCTAATGGAGTTCTATATAGTCGTAGTTGTCCGCCTGGTCTTTGGTTTAATGCATTGAGTGATCAATGTGATTATCCAAGTCTTGTGCAATGTTAAATAAGAATATCAAATGGAAGACTTTGGTTTTTTTTTATAATCGGCCCTTTTACACATTTCTTTCGAACTTTTTTTGTTTCTCGGTGCTATATTGTCTCCCTCTCTGTTTCTCCTTTATCTCATACTTTTAGACGACTATCTGTAGATGTTTAAATTGTTTTCTTCTTCTTATTCAATAAACATTCTTTGACAAAAAAAACAGACGTTCATTTATAATGGTTATAATACTCATAAATCTTGGTCACGAACGATTAATTCTATTAGAATCAACATCTAAAAACTCACATCACAATCAATCAATTCTTTGCTTTTTCTCTCGTGTGTCACAAGGATGACAAGGGGTTTCTTTCATTTTTATCGGCTGAACGATATGAAAAACAAACAGAAAGAAACAGAATGTATATCTTTACAAGCAACCAATTTGACTCGTGTAAAACGAATTAACTTCCGGTTTTCTCTTGCTTTTATTGTCATGAAGGAGATCACGACATTTACTTTAAAAAGAAGCAAAGATAAATGTTTTTTCTTTTCCCTTAAGAGATTAAATTAGGACGACTGTAGCGAACGTTTAGATTCAAGTGTTAGTATTGCTTTTGCATGTTAGACAGATAAAATGAAGAAGCACGAACGACTACTCGTCATTGTGAAAGCATATAACGTTATTTCATAAACTGCCTATTATGTTAAATCATTTATTCATACGACGATAATGAATGTGGTCTTTAGTTTTTCTCTTAGTATTATTCATTGGAAATCGAGGTAAACTAAATATGAAAATATTACGATATTAAAATGATTTTGCTTTAGAAATTGAAGCAATTTCATGCTATCAATGTTCAATGAAATATTCAAATGTTGAATGTAATTCAAATAATTCAAGTTATTTTACAGATTGTCAACCAACATTTGATACATGTTTAACCATTGTACTTAAACCAGGTAGAATTGTAGGTGTTTCTTTCTTTTTTGATTTATTCTAATAAAAATTTTTAGATAATTTTGATGAAATAATCATTACAAAATATTGTACAAAACGTAATGCATGTGAACGTCAACAAAATTATACACATTCTTTAACACCTTGTGAACCCAATAGTGAAGGTCGAAGTTGGGGTTGTGTTTCATGTTGTGGAGATCGAGATTTATGTAATTATGATGATTCAAATCGATTAATACCAAATATAAATATAGCAAGGATATTTTTATTTGGTGTTTTACATTTTTTTCTTTAGTTATTAATGAAAAAAATACGACTTTTCAGAAATAAATATTCTTTTTAAAGAATTTCTTTCGTTATAAGAATTATCCTAATCATAGAAAAGTCGATTTCTATCAAGTTTTGTAAACATCATGTTAATCTACAATTCCATTTACAAACTTTTATGTTATCGTCTAATCAATATAAAAGAAAGCGGCGTACTAAGTGTCGTCCTCCTCTAGAATTAGTTCTATTTATAAACCAATTGGGATTTAAGCATTAAACGATATTAAATTATGAATGAAGATACTCTTCAAAAGACAAATCTTCTCTTTATTTCATGCAGCTCATTAAATGTCAAGTTAAACAGAAAGAAGAAAAAAAATGATATTACTTTTTTTTCTAACAATCCAAGACTTTGTTCGTTGCTGCTTTCAATATTAACTTTTTAAATCGAGATAGCGTTGTTTGACAAAGCGAGGCTTCATTTCTTTCTTTTCTTTTACTGTGTGTCAATATATATTATTTACTATGAATGAACTTTTTTTAATATATTGACGCATCAAGCATGAGAGAAAAATTTTGTCTGAATGACTGATATTTATACGCAACATCTACCTAGACGCTCAAAGAACTTTCATTGATGCCGAAAGCTAACAGAAAGAAAAAAATCTAAAAAAAGCACGCCCTGAATATAGTTAATAACTATGTTGCGTTTCCATTTTACTTCTCAGAAAAAAAAACGAGAAAAAAAGAAATTTTCTTTTTTTTCTTTGAAGACAAGTACGGCTGGTTAAAATAATAGAGTGCATTTTGGATTTACAATGACATCATATAGACAAATGCAGTCAACACAATTTCGACATGATTCTACAGAATCTGTAAGAAATAATTAATTACAGTATTTCCAATACATATTACCAATGTATAGATATTTATATACGCTCGGAAAAAAATAGTTAGACTCTGTATTTTGAATATATTTCCACTATAAAAACACATCTTTTTTTTTAAAGTAATTACATATTCTGAAAGTCCATGAAGTTTTCTATCGCTCTGTATAAGTAGGTTTTAGTTGAGAACTATTCATTACTAAAATAAATTGAGTGCAACTAAGACACTCGCATATTGAGATTCTCACAAATTAATTTTGTCATTGTCATCAAAATTAGTATTTTAAATTTTCTATCACTGTAGTATTGTGTTTCTAAAAAAAAGTAACCGTGGATTCTGATAGAATTTGAAATTCTCTGTCACCCTAAATGTTGACTTATTTTCTTATATTTATTTATTGAAGAAAAAGCTTGAGTAAACTAACCCTTTCAGTCCCAAATTATTTCTGCTGGATTCAATTCAAGTAGACTGTTAGATTAGCTTAGTTTAGACACAAACACAAGACATAAATATTTCGTGTGCACTCGCATGTGTTGTATTCAGTATAAGTTTTATTGAATTTTGTTATACTTGAATAGAAATTTTAATTGCTAAAATTTCTTAATTGCAAAAGTTATACAAGTTTTTCATAAAATAACAAAAAACAATTTTTATTTTTTTTACACAAACAAAAATGCCACAAAAACTGCATTTTATACTACTAAACACTGGAGAAGCTCTCGTACTGCAATATCTGTATCTTCTTTTAGGTCCAGCAACAGGCATATGTGCTAACAACTGAGCTGATAGAGATTTTTCCCCAGCTTTTGTTGAATTTGTTTTTGTTTTTGTTTTCTGACAGAAAAGTGAATAAGTTCGCTTCTAATTTTCCGTGAACTTTAGTCACCAATCAGAACTTGCTCAATGAACGACTATATATCTCATTTGCAGATACTTGGGAAGGATTCTAAAGCACTCTTTATTGCTTCATTTCAAGAGATTAGGTACTAATTTTTATAAATTATGTTGTGAAAAATAATTATAAAACATGTGAAGCTTTTTTTCTACTATGAGACTGAAAGGGTTTAACACACCGTCAATCGACAAGTACCAAAGATCGTTGCTTTTCTCGTCTTCTCAAAATATGGTTATTACTCAAAAAAAATTTGAAAAAAAGTAATCATAGATTCTGATAGAGGTTGAATTTCTCTATCGTTCTATACAGAGATGGGCAGCTCCGACTCCTGAGCGCCCGCTCCATGGAGCTAGCTCCATCCCAGGAGAAAAGCGGAGTGATTCGTCACAACGGTGGAGCTAGGGCGGAGTCGGAGCGACCTTCTTTTTCCTATCTTCAACCATACGTTCATTTTTCGCTTTATTCTTCTGTAAACAAAGACGGAAGAATTAGTGATACAAAAGTTCGTCATCGACTATTCATTAAAGTGAATGTGCCATTGTTACATTTTAAACCATAACAATACTTGAGACAATGACTAACCATTCATTTAGTCGATTGTTCTATAGCTTATTTGACTGCGCTATTGTTAGTTTGAAAATATAAGAACACGACATCGATGAAGAGAGAACATTTGATATTGAGTGAATCCGTGGGGTTTCTACCACTTTGTGGAAGAATGGTATTCTGTGCCAATGTTCTGAAAGAAAGATTTCTTTTCGCTTTTAATAGTCTAGTTAGATGTATCATAGTCGAAAACAATCTGAGGCAACAATTAAAACCTTTTTGAACATATAAAGTATAGAGAACTACATTATTTTTTAGGAACATTCCATACCGATAAAGGGCAACCCATAATAACTGATGATAATTTATTCATCATATTTTTCATATTTTTTGTTGACATAGAGAGCTAAAATTTTTATCACATGTATATCTAATCAAGATCTTTTATTTCTGAAATTTTCAGCTCTCTAGCTAAAACTAATGGTGAAATACATCAAATTTGCACTCGATTTTTCCAATAATTTAACAGTAAAAATATGCAAAAATCAAGTACGAAACTTCATGTATTTCAGTCTTGTCAATGTATTTCACCATTAGTTTTAGCTAGAGAGTTGAAAATCTCAGAAGTAAAAGATCTTGATTAGATATAGATGTGATAAAAATTGCAGCTCTCTATGCCACCAAAAAGTATGAAAAATATGATTAACAATTTATTATAGGACACTCTTTATGCGTGTGGAGTGTTCCTAAAAAATGATTTGATTCTCCACACTTTATATGTCCAAAAAAGTTTTAATTGTTGCCTCAGACCGTTTTCGACTATGATACATCTAACTAGACTATTCAAAGCGAAAAAGTTTTTTCAATAAAAGTGGTAGAAATCCCACGGATTCACTCTATTATGAAATCTTTGAGAAGTAAGCTATGACAGAACAGAAAATATTTCTCATTCAACTGAAAGTTGAATGAACAAAATTTTTTATGGCAAAACAATCATGTAATCGATCGTCATCGTTAACTGATCAAGATGATGACTCCAATCAATCATCTTCTTACCCTAGTCAAGAATTCCTAAACGAATCCCTGGTGAGTCCCACACTCATCCTCGGTCCCTGATGGAATTCCTGTCACGATTTCCCAGGGACTTCGAGGGAATTTTATAATGAGGTTTCACTTGGGGTGGATATTATGATAAGAACGTCGTGTACAATCGTTTGCAGTCATCGTAAGTCTCATGGTATATTCCTGACGAGTCCCTGGCAAATCCTCAGGAATTCCCTAGCAAATTCCCAGAAACTCCCACGTCAATCCCTGGGGACTTCTTGACTCTCTCGTAAATCCATAGGGAACCCCTGCCGGGATTCCTCAGGGAATTTTGACAGGAACTTCCCATGGATTCGTTTAGAGATTCTCGACTAGGGTATTCATACTTGCACCGGCTACCTCCGCTCTGCACTGTAAAAAATACGCGCAGAATAATAAATCCTTGAAAAAGGTTTGTTAACCTAATAAATCCTTTCATATACCCTTTTTCGGGTATATTAGTATCGTAAGTTCTTTCATATATCCTTTCAGTTCATAAACCCTAGGAAGAGAATTTTATACGTTGCACTTTTATAAACTCTTTAGGGTATATGAGCAGTAATGTACCCTTAAAGCGTTTATTAACTTCATAAATCCTTCAGAAAAGTGTTTTGTATTCTACGATTTCTTCTAGAGGGTACATGAATAAACGCTTTTTTCGAAGGGTTTATGAAGTTAATAAACGCTTTAAGGGTATATTACTGCTAATATACCCTAAAGAGTTTATGAAAGTGCAACATATAAAATACCCTTCCAATGGTTTATGAACTAAAAGGGTATATGAAAGGGTTTATTATTCTGCGCCTACTTCTTACAGTGTAGTTCAAAGGGTGTTTTCCTCGAGCGGCATACTCATGTGTCCTCATTACAGTAGACTCCCTAAGAATATGCTCTCAATGCTTACTTTACAAAAAATGCAATCGACATGTGCTGTAGTTCACTAGTCTATTTGACATTGTAAATAATCTTCATACTGTAATCAGGCTAAGTTAAATATATTGAGAATTAGTTTGTTTTGTCTATATTATATGTATATATGTTGAAATAAAACGTCAAATTTACTGCACATCATCAAACTTCAACAAAATCAGCAAAAAAAAGTTTCGTTACAACGGAGCTAGAGCGGAGTCGGAGCGGAGCGGAGCGCTTCGTAATTTCGGTGGAGCTGAAGCGAAGCCGGAGCGGGTGTTTTTTTTATGGAGGTTGAAGCTGGAGCGGAGTGGGAGCGGAGCGACTCGTTAGTGACTGGAGCTGAACCAAGAGATGGTCGGAGCTGTCCATCTCTGATCGTATGTATTTTTTAACTGCCTTGTAGTTATGTGCTGCAGTACATTCAGCACATAAGTGTAACGCAAGACAAAAAATATATACGATGATAGAAAATTTCAAGCTGTATCAGAATCTATGGTTACTTTTTTAAAAACACAATACTATAGTGATAGAAAATTTAAAATACTAATTTCGATTAGGGATGTGCAGTTTCAGTATACTGAGCACCGATAAAACCGCACTGGCGTTCACTGGTACGCTGACGACACTGACACTGAGCGCACTGTCTGCAGTGACACACCGACAATGAGCGAACCGTCTGCAGTGACGCACTGACAGTGACGAGG